CATCTTGACCTTCTTTCTAAACATTGTTACTTTTTATTCAGTCTTTTAGATACGAATTTAATTTGTATATGCTCATTCCTTTAATTATCTTTTTTTTCCTAAGCTTGACTCAGCATGGAGCTTGCTCCGCATCCTAGACTAATCCGGTTTTCTTTTTCTTTGGTAGAGTTTCGCTCCTTGGCGGAAGCGTGCTTGTATCTAGGCGATCCATCACAGGCCGAGGATCGTGTAGCGGACCTCTGGTTGGCTTATGAGACCAGCCCCTTGGCCTGTTCTCACAGGCCTATGTTGTATTCGCGGTAGTCCAGTCCAAGCCGGTACCTCTGTCGGTACCAGCCATTCCAGTCAGTCCAGTCCAGTCCAGTCAGTCCGTTGGGGTAATATCCCAGCCAGAGTCTGTACTTTGGGGGCATTCTACATTCGCACAGTTTGGAGTACGTGCGTTGGAGTCTCGCATGGGAGCTGCATTGTGCCATTTTGCTCCACTCTCATCCTCCATCTCCATCTTATCCCAGGCGGAGCACCACACCTGGTGGGTCCGCCACAACCAAGGTTGTTCTCCCACTCACACTTCTTTGGATTTACCTTGAACTTGTCCTCTCTAATCTTAATTAGGACCTTATGAAAGTATGACTCATGCTCCTCTAGAGTACTAATTGTTATGATAGATTAGATATAGATAAGATAAGGCGACCGACATACGGCACGCCCTGACTGACGGGCGTGTCGCCTTAGGATCTATCACTCTATGATATGATAAGTTAACAACAAAAAGGCTAGTAAACATCACAAAGATGGGTATCAGCATAGAAAGATGTATTGATGTACCAAATTAACAGCCTAAGTTAAAGCAGAAGCAACTAACTAGTGTACATGTCCTCGGAAAGCAGAAAATAATGATAACTAAATCTTAGAATGTTGGAGGTAGTGGCCTCGGTCTAGAAACAACAGACTAGTGTGTAAGTCCTAAGAACAGCAAAAGCAGAAACAACTTAATCCAAGAAATGTTAGAGGCGGTAGCCTCAGTCTGAGAGCAACAAAGCAACAACAAGACAACCATATGTCACAGGAGGAGTGCGTCGCAAACCACAGGGTGGGATGGTCTCTGAGGGTGGCGAATGCAGCCTAGGGGTCGATAAACTCCTAAGGGCATCCACACATAATGACAGAGAGACACGTGTCATCAGGCCCAATGAGGGTAGGGAACTGGGAGCGAATAGAACCAATGACCCTAACAGATAGACCATCAGGGCGGGTAATGCTCGACTAAAGGGGTGACCGCTATGGAGGGTCGACCATGCAAGGGAATAAGGGAGCCTGGTATATTGGGCACCACCTAAATGAAGCATGCAAGGCTGCCTAACTAGGGCGTGAGGGCCGAAAGAGGGTAGAAAAAGTGATGGGTAAGAGAATCATGCAAATCACTCCTAAGGTGGGGAAAGTCGGAGCTGGATCTGTAAGCTGGGAAGCCAGGGCAACGCTACGGTCCCGATGCCTATGCGTATACCAAGGGAGAGCCAACTTAGAGGAACCCGGCGAAGGGAGACCATCATGCGACACAACCAGGGTACTGTACAGGGTAAGGTGGTAAGAGAGTGACGACGTCTGAAGTAGGCAGAGCTTTGACGAAGGTCGTGAAGCTGCCGATGATGTCCATGATGAGAAATCCGGAATGCCGTCGAGGAAGAGCCACAACGTCGAGGAAGAGTCGGACCGTCGACGAGCTGAAGTGGCAAAACTGGAGTGGATGGAGTACTGAGAAGTCAAAGACGTGGGAAGATAAGTCAGAGTCAATCGTCGAATGGAGTACTGAGAGTCAAAGACGTGGGAAAATAAGTGTGAGGAGGGACGACGACGAGTGCGCCGTGGACGCT